AGAGACCAGCCTGAGCTACAGTGAGACCCTGTCTCTCAAAATAGCTGGGCATTGTAGTGGGCACCTGTAGTCCTAGCTACTTGGGAGGCTGAGGCAAGAGAATTGCTTGAGCCTAAGAGTCAGAGGTTGCTGTGAGCCATGACACTAGGGCACTCTAATAGGGGCGGCAAAGTGAGACTCTGTTCAGAAAAAAAAAACAAAAAACTGGGAACAACCCAAATGTCCGTCATCAGAATGGATAAAGAAAGTGTAGTGTAGTTATTCAGTGGAATACCTCTTAGTGGGAAAATGGAGCAAAATAAATAGAGGGTTTTTGAAAGGTAGCTAGAATATTTTTTGTAGGAAAGTCCAATAGAAGCTAGATTTCAAACTATACATTTAAAAAAAAAATGAAAGTCAAGGCTGGACATGGTGGCTCATACCTGCAATCCTAGCACTGTGGAAGGCCGAAGTGGGAAGACTGCTTGTGGCCAGGAGTCTGAGACGAACCTGGACAACATAGCAAGACCCTAATTTTTGAAAATTAGCAAGGTAGGGTGGTCTGTGCCTATAGTCCTAGTTACTCAGGAGGCTGAAGTGAAAGAATTGCTTAAGCCCAGGAGTTTGAGTCTGCAGTGAGCTATAATAGTATCATTGTACTCCAGCTTGGGCAGCAGAGCTTCTGTAAGTGTGGTAACACACCCACACATATGCACATATAAAACAAAATGAAAAAGTTTTGAAGTCTCTCAGTGGGCTTTTGCTTCAGCTATTAATGTGAAATTAAAGGAGACACTATTGTTATTATAACTAAAGAAAACAGAGGTAATGTGAAGCTTTTCTGAATAAAACTGTTATCTGATATGAGTCTTATTTTCACTTTTAATAATTCCCATACAAATACACCAGTAATAGAGTTTCATTCATATGATTCAGTTTTGACTTCAGTAGGAGCTACCATCTCTTCTCTTAACAGTCTCTGTAGTTCTTATTTAATCTGGCACCTAGGTGAAGTCTTAGAATGGAACTGGTAAGGAAGACAGTTTAAGTATTTGTTAAGTCTTCATGCAAATGGAAGCAGTGGGGAGTCCCTGGTGAATGTTTATTTATTTACCAGGGATTAAAAGCAAGGGTTAAAGAACTTTCCAGTGACTCATCAGCTAGAGCAGTGGCTCCTAAGCACTAGAAAATAAAAATAGCCTAGAATTTGCGTGGTTATAGATACAATATAGTTTTACATGTATATGTATATAAAGATAATGTCCCTTCTACTGTTTTAATGTTAAAATACTTTTTTCCTATATAACAATGGTGATAGTGGCTGATTATAGTTTAAATGTTCTTTTTTTTAATTTTAAGTGTTCTTAACATGAAAAAATATGAATAGCAATCCTTTAAAATTTTTTCACTTGTAAAATCCTTTAAAAGCTACTGAGTTAGAGTATTTAAATAATCAGCAAACACTGAGAAATGAACAACAAAAATAGTCTTACAAGGCTGGTTGTATTTATTTATTTTTTTTTAATTATTTTTTTTTTTTTTTTTGACAGCCTCAAGCTGTCCCCCTGGGTAGAGTGCTGTGGCACCACAGCTCACGGCAACCTCCAACTCCTGGGCTCAAGCAAGTCTCCTGCCTCCGCCTCCCAAGTAGCTGGGACCACAGGCGCCCGCCACAACCCCTGGCTATTTTTTGGTTGCAGCCGTCACTGTTGTTTGGCGGGTCCAGGCTGGGGATTCGAACCTGCCACCCTAGGTGTACGTGGCTGGTGCCCTAGCCGGTTGAGCTATAGGCGCCAAGCCAGGCTGGTTGTATTTAAAAGACGAAGTCTAAGGATCATTAAGATCTCAACCTGTTTAAATTTGTAGTCAAGAAATCTCATCATTCAACAAAGGAAAAATTATGTTAGGAGTAGTTCTCATTGTTTTACAGTATTAGTAGCATTAGAAAATTCTCTGTTTGTTATTCTGAATCCTAAAAAGTGCAATATCCTTAGATAGATATGCATGCCATCCCTACTTTCTAAATGATGAAATGTTTTTTGATAGTTCATAGCACCTGCCTTAATAGGTGATTTATAAGTAATTCCTTCAAAAAAGGGGAATCTAAAAAAAAAAAAAAATAGCAAAGATTTAGAAGAATATATATTATCTTAATTAAAAGGAACCAATATTCCCTTTTTTAAAAAATGATATATTATGGAGCTTACTCTAAGAGGAATAATTTATCTATCTAATAAAATAATCTACTGAGAATTTGTGAAATGAAAATCTTATTTTATTAGCAAATTAATATTCATTCATTAAAAAATGTCTAGATCATAATTTAGTACACATTATTGATATTTGAGATACTTGAGAATGTGTTTGAAATGTGTTGCCCAGAGACACTCTAAAGCAGATGTGTTATCCCCAGGTTTTTTCTCCACTTGAAGATCGTGGCTTCTTTATGAAGATACCTGGGTGAAGATAAAGGAGATGTAACTGAACAGTGGGCAATAGTGTGTTAGTACATTCTGAACAGCCACCTGGGAGAGGTGATTTGTAACATTTGCCAATTTCCATTGTGTAAATATTCCTACCATAGCCAATTTCAAGCTATCAGCTGTTAAACAACTAGCTTTTGAAAATACTGGTTCAGTACCTGACAGCTTCAGCATACCACTGGATGGCACTAGGTAATGGTGCTCAGCCAAGCAGAATGCAAGTCTAGGGAAATTAAAGACACAGTTAAGCTCAAGGGAGTCTGAGTCCTCAAAATCAAGAGCATGACAACCCTCAGTTTTTAGGGTAAATCCTAGTTAGTTCCAAGCAACTCCTCTCTTTTCCATAACTCTTCCTTAATACTTTCTTTGTTCATGTGTTTGTTTTTGGTTTTGGTTTGTTTTTTGAGACAAGATCTCACTATGTTGCCCAGGCTGGTCTCAAATTCTTAGGCTCAAAGCATTGTCCCACTTCAGCTTTTCAAGCATCTGGGATAATAAGCACACACCACCATACCTGGCTATCCTTAAATTTTTTTTTTTTTGGTAGAGACAGTCTCACTTTATCGCCCTTGGTAGAGGGCCGTGGCGTCACACCACTCACAGCAACCTCCAACTCCTGGGCATAGGCGATTCTCTTGCCTCAGCCTCCCAAGGGAGTACAGGTGCCTGCCACAACGCCCAGCTATTTTTTTGTTGCAGTTTGGCCGGGGCCAGGTTTGAACCCGCCACCCTAGGTATATGGAGCCAGTGCCCTACCCATTGAGCCACAGGCACCGCCCCTTAAATACATTTGTACTCCCTAGAGCAATATTGTATTTTCTTAGTGCTACATCATCTAGAAAGCCATTTCATTAGTAATCATTAACAGTTAAAGCTGGAATCCATAGTTCATTTCTCTGCCTAAAATGTTGCCAGACTCTTCAGTTTGAGGACTAACTTATAGTACTTAGGATATTGAAATTTAATTCCTTTATGGGAAGCTATGTTTTAGAGGGGAAATATAAAGGCTTATTAATCATTGCAAAAGATCTGTGTATTTTCAGTTGTGAAACCAAAATAGTATGTACAATTTTGGTCTTGAGTTTTATTTATTTTTTCCTGAGACAGAGCCTCAAGCTGTCACCCTAGGTAGAGTGCTGTGGCATCACAGCTCACAGCAACCTCCAACTCTAGGGCTCAAGCACTCTCTCTTGCCTCAGTTTTTCTATTCCATTAGTAGAGATGGCATCTCACTTTTGCTCAAGCTGGTCTTGAACTCGTGAGCTCAAACAATCCACCCTTCTCTGCCTCCTACAGTGTGAGGATTATAGGCTTGAGCCCTATACCCGACCATTGGTCTTGACTTTTAAAGGCAAGAATAGCCAGTCTCGTGCGGAAGTCCAGACTTTTTCTTCTTTCCCCAGCTCCATCTTCTCTTTCCTCTTCAGATAAACCTATTTCTCACCTCAGGTATACAATGACTTTTTGTTCTTGTCTCTCTACTTTCTTCCCTGCAGAACCTTGAAGGTCCTACTAATTTGTAACTTTTACTTGATCCTCGCAATTCATTGATTCCAAAATGTTCTTTCAATTTGATGATTTTTAAATCTCTTACTGTTCAGTGTTGTTCAAGAATCAATAAGCATTAAGTGAGTGTAAAAACCTGAAGTCTTTTTTGTTGTTGTTGTTGTTGTTGTTGTTGTTGTTGTTGCAGTTTTTGGCTGGGGCCAGGTTTGAACCCACCACCTCCAGTATATGGGGCTGGTGTCCTACTTCTTTGGGCCACAGGCGCCACCCATAGAAGCCTGAAATCTTAACCAAGCTGCCACCTTTGCCCTAACCCTGAAGATAAACCAATTATGTCAATTAAGGATCATGTAGAGTCTGGAGGGAACTAGTTACAAGCGTAACAGATATTTGTCTTTTCCCACTTGATTCCTCCCTGGCAAGATCACACAAGGGACTGGTCTCATTGAGGCTGCTTTAGATGTAGCCTAAGAAGCTGCTAAGATCTTGGGATCTAGCCTGCCTGGTTCAGGTCTATCTGTTGGCCGGGGTTCCTTTCCTCTGTTCCTCCAGACCTTCCTTCCCACTACACATTCACATGTAGTCTTAAATATTACTTTAGACTTTAAATTAGACCTTTTTGGGGAAATTCCCAAAAGAATATTTGATGTTATTCCCTTTAATGCTTTATGCTAAATAAAAAACCAAAACATATTCTATTCAACTTTTCTATGTGTAAGAGGAAAAATAAATTTCCACATACAAATTTCATAATTCTAATGTTCAGGCTATCTCACAACTGTTAGTAAGGATGTTTCTAAAAATGATGATATGATGATACATATATTCATATATGTGACAAAAGCTTTCACACCTGGTAAAAAAACAAAATAAATATACTAAATGCATTATTCCATGTCTTCATATTAAATTATATGCCCTGAGCACTTAATAAATGCATAGAGGCCTTTTCTAATATTTTTTTCCAAACAGATATGTTTGGAAGCATTTCCACTTGGTAATTGTTAAGTAATTTGTTTCTTTCTATCTCAGAGAGAAAAATACCAGATGAAGATTTCATCATTTTAATTGATGGATTAAATGAAGCAGAATTTCACAAACCGGATTATGGGGATACAATTGTATCATTTCTGAGTAAAATGATTGGAAAATTTCCTTCTTGGCTCAAACTAATTGTAACAGTTAGGACCAGTTTACAGGTATGTGTTTATTTACTTTTAAACCAAAAATTATTTCCCTTGGAAAGGGCATAAACTGAAAAAGTTCTAGGTCCTAGTTCCCTTAAGACAGTGCTTTCTAAACCTCTGCCATATGAACATCAGCAAGAATAATTCCCAAAGAATTGTATTTCCAGAGTAAAGGATATGATCTAGAAAGATCACTTTCTGTACCTGACTCTCAGATTCCCATTCCCATTGCTTTGGATAAGGTTTGATAAAATGTCCTTCAAAATAATATGACAAAAAAGTCATTTTTCTAGACTTTGTCCTGACAGCAGTACAAAGAAAGTCCCTAACACTTTGGCTTTTGTTTCACTTTTGTCATTTAATGCTATGCAAAATTCGGTGTAGTCTAGAGTCACATTTTCTTGTCCTTCCATCTGCTTTTACTTGAACAGTTTTTCTATAGCACGAAGGTGGACTTTCTTCAGTATATACCCTCCTCTAACAAATACGGGCAATATTAGGGCTGTAGATTAAGTTTACTACAACTGGAAGATATGATTTGTTTTGTTTTTTGTAATTACTTTCCATGCTCACTCACAGATCACTTAATGGCCTAAAGGAAAGACCAGGAATGTAGAACTTAGCCTGTAACAATATATGGGCTAAATATAAATAATTCCCCTTTCTCCACAATTCTCTTGGTAGCTGAGTTGGTATCTCCCATTCTTTACATAGTCACACGTGGTTTGTAACAGTGTTTTTCAACCTTTTTTTTTTACATCATGTACCCATCCCCCTATTTTGATGTGACCCCTCATGATAAGTGCTAATGTACAGAAAATATTCTGTGCATTTAAGTCCCTCCTTTTTCTTCTCCTGAGCACTTAATATTCTTCCCACATATTGACCATTTAGCTTTACTGCCTTCCGTGATCACAAATATTTCTAGTCCTGGCTACCACTTCATAGATATTTATTATTAATCTCAAAGTAATTAGAATTAAAGAATGTGGATGAATCACCATAAATGTATCTTTACAACTAAAAAAATCATATAGCCTGTTACTATTGGTCAGTAGCTTGAGGATGAAGGATGAATAAAAGAAACCTCCAGGAACACAGTCTCTAACTACTTTTACCAAATATATGTTTAGGAGATATTATCCTCACGTTTTCACATAAAGTCATGGACAGTCTCAAAAGAAATTTTAAGTATATCTGAGCAGAACATTTGACTGTAATTTTTCAGCTACACCAAAAAACAGAAAAAGTACTATACATATTAATCTACAAAGTCTATTTCAGTGTCTTCATGGATAGAGCCCTGCAGTAACTTCCCACATATTCCATTCACTCAACTAAGAATTTTTTTTAATTATTTTCTTTAGTTCTGACAGTCAAATAATTAACAGTTTTAAAAAAGGAACCCTTACATTTGATCATCCATCATTTCCACAAACGTTTCTTAAGTACTTAGAGTATTTCAGGCACTGAGAATTCAACAGTGAACAACACAGTCTCCCTGCCCTCATAAAGTTTATGCAGAGTTTTCCCAAAGTTCACCATAAATACATACATTCATACATAAGGAAAATGGGAAATCATACTGAATGTATTTCATCTACAAAATATTCATTATAAAATTATATAAAATTCTCTACATGTTGATATATAACTATAAAAATACTAAAAATATAAAATGTGAGTTTGTTAATTTTTCCTATATACTAGTAACGAATAAATGAAACATATACTAAAATTGCAAGTAGTGTTAAAGCTATGAAGGAAAATAGAGTAAAGGGATAAATGGAGATAATAGTTTCTTTAAATGAGTAAATAGGAAAAGCCACTCCAGAGAATCTTGTAAAGTAATGAGATATGACCTTCCTTTTAAAAAGCTATCTACTGGTTGTAGGGCATTAAGAATACGTTCAAGTAAAAGATGATGGTGGTTCATACTTGAGTGGTAATGTGAAGGGGTCATATTTATGCTATATTTGGAAGAAGAGTAAAAGGTCTTGATGTTGGGCTGACTATGGGTGTGAGCAAGAGAAGATTCAGGAATGAATCTCGGGTTTTTGGTCAGCAAATGGTTGAATAATGATTTGAGGAAAAGAAAAAGATCACCGATAGTTCCTAGGATTTGGTTATAGGTTAATGGAAGTGCCATTTATTTACCTGGAGAAGGTTCAGTGGTGGGGAACAGACTTTAGTAGTTCTGATTTGGTTGTATTAGGTTTGTCTGTGAAACATCCTAGTGTAAATGTTGAGTAGACAGAGACAGAAGATGGGACTGAGCTGGAAACATAAAGTTAGGCGTCATCCACATATAGATGATATTTAGAACCATGGAACTAAATCAGCTGTTTTAGGGAGGAAGGATGATGGCTAGAGATGAGAAAAGATATGAGACCTGAGCCATGGATAAGCTGAGAAATGAAAGAGGAACCAGCGAAATGGGTAGGTAAAGAGTGCCCAGTGTGCCAAGAGGGAAATGAGCAAAGTACAAAAAGTGACCCCCCCCAAAAAAAATAAAGTTCAGAAAGCTTCTGTCAGACACTGCTGAGAGGATGCGGAAGATGAGAACTAAAATGTGATTATTGGTTTTGGCAAGGTGAAGATTACTGGTAACCTTTACGAGAACCATTTCAGTGAGCGTGGGGGCTGAAACCTGAGTGGTACAAATGGAGGAGTGAGTGGCAAGAAAGGAGTTAGAAAAAGCAAGCAGAGAAAATGTGTCTGTGAAGTTTTGCTAAAATTAGGGATGGAAGTACAGGTTAGTAGGTGGAGGGAGGAATATGGGGTTTATGTCTTTGTGATCTGAGAAGAAATTGATAACAGAAAAGAGAATGGGTACTTGTAAAAGGAAAGTCTGTAAGTAGATAAGGAAGTATAGAATCTAGTATATGAGTTACACAAAGGCTATCACCTTCCCCTAACATAATTCTAAGCAGATCCATCAAGTTATCAGGCTTCTTTTAGAAGTATTCCTTTTAGCTAAGACATCCCCAAAAGACCCCCCCTCCCCCATTTAGGGGGGTTACTAAGCCATGTCCATGTTTTTTCATGACATTCCTTAAATCTTTATGCATTTTTCTTGTAAAATTGTACTTTGGCATCATGCCCTGGTTTACACTGAGAAAAATTGCAACAAAAGAGTTGTATAGCACTCTATTTTCTTTTTAGTTTAGAGGTATTATTTAAAAGAATATTGACCATGAAATCATGCCTAATGAACCCTTTACAAAGCTCCATAAAAATTACCTTAAATCTCTTATTAGGAAAAGTTGTGTCCCTTCTGTGCAACTGATTTGTTTTAATTTATGAATACTTATACTTAATCATGTTTTCCTCTTTTCTTTGGCCATGCAGAAGTTCAAATAAATGGGTGGATTTCATAGTTTATCGCAAGAGTTAGGGAAAACTGAAGGTCTTTCTGTCTCTTTCTCTCTCTCTCTCCATCTGTTTTAGGAAATTACCAAGCTGCTGCCTTTCCATAGAATTTTTTTGGATCGCCTAGAAGAGAATGAAGCCATAGACCAGGACCTGCAGGCTTATATCCTGCACCGGATACACAGCAGCTCAGAGATCCAGAATAACATTTCACTAAATGGCAAAATGGACAACACTACCTTTGGCAAACTCAGTTCTCATCTCAAGACCCTCAGTCAAGGGTCCTATCTATACCTGAAACTCACATTTGACCTTATAGAAAAAGGCTATCTAGTGTTAAAGAGCTCTAGCTACAAAGTAGTTCCCGTTTCGCTCTCAGAGGTTTATTTACTCCAGTGCAATATGAAGTTCCCAACCCAGTCTTCCTTTGACCGAGTAATGCCTCTCCTGAATGTGGCAGTGGCCTCTCTCCACCCACTGACTGATGAGCATATCTTCCAGGCCATCAATGCTGGTAGCATTGAAGGCACACTAGAATGGGAGGATTTTCAGCAGAGAATGGAGAACCTATCCATGTTCCTAATCAAGCGCAGAGACATGACTCGTATGTTTGTACATCCTTCTTTCCGAGAATGGCTTATCTGGAGAGAAGAAGGAGAGAAAACCAAATTTCTGTGTGATCCCAGGTAAGACAAAGATCTGTGATGAGAAATTCTGAGTCTACTTTGTGTTTACTGCATGGAGCATGGGTATTTAAATTAGTGGGAAATGTTCATCATTGAACATTTCACTTCCAGAAGATGTCTGTGTTTTCTCAAGGCTTGGCTATAATGAAGTTAACTTAATTCATTTTCTCACAGCATTATTTCCTTAAGACTCAATATCTGCATAATTATTTAGAATGCTATCCTGCGTTCCTGTGTTTCCCTAAATAATTTTAACTGACCCCAGTAGGGATCAGAGGCTATAATTTAGCCATTTAACAGACTTCCTCACTATTCTTTTTTTTTTTTTGAGACAGAGTCTCACTTTGTTACCCTCGGTAGAGTGCCATAGCATCACAGCTCACAGCAACTTCAAACTCTTGGGCTTAATGCCCCTCCCAAATAGCTGGGACTACAGGTACCTGCCACAATGCCCAGCTATTTTTTTTTTTTTTTTGTAGTTGTTGTTTTTAGCAGGCCTGGGCCAGGTTCAAACTCACCAGCCCCGGTGTATGTGGCCAGCACCCTAACCACTGAGCTAAGGACATTGAGCCTCAGTATTCTTCATATATGAAAAAAGAATTGATACATTATTCATCTGTTTCACTTAGAGTCATTTAAAAATTGTTATTGCCCTTTAAAAAGCCTTATCATCAGGCTTAGCAGCTAGGATGCCAGCCACATACATCAGAGCTGGCAGTTTCAAACCCAGCCCAGGTTTGAACAATGATAACTACAACCAAAAAATAGCTGGGCTTTGTGATGGGCACCTGTAGTCCCAGCTACTTGGGAGGGTGAGGCAAGAGAATCACTTAAGCCCAAGAGTTGGAGGTTGCTGTGATTTGTGATGCGACAGTACTCTACAGAGAGCAACATAGTGAAACTCTGTCTCAAAAAAAAAAAAAAAAGCCTTATCATCATTAAAGTCACCAATGCTAACCCCTTAAAGTCTACCCAGTGCTAAGATTGATAGTGGAAAATAGAATCTTAAACCTCATAGCTGAAAAAGATTTGAAGAAATCAGCTGGTCTATCTGCTCTGCCTTTAGATAAATAAGGTATCATTATCACCATTTTGTGATAAGGTCCTTAAGATGCTGAATCAACTGCACAAAGTCATAAAGTAAATAGTGAGAGATAAAAGGAGAAACTGGAATAGATATAGCAAATAAATGGCATAAACACCAATTCCCCATCCTGCACACATAGGCATCACTGACTTAACCCCAGCACTCTTTCCCAGTAAGTTTGACCCTGACTCGAGAATCTTTCTCAACTCTACAAACCAGACTAGATATGAAACTATTTCCCATTCTGTGGATAGAACTGATTTCTCTGGCATCCTAGTGGCGTGTGCTTTCTATTCCTCCTTGCTAACCTTTCAAAAGAATTATGCCCTTAATATTATGTGGATTTTTTCAAATGCCAGGTATATTACTAATTTTCTGGAAACAAAGAAGATACCAACAACATAATTGCCAAACGCAGAGCTTATTTTGGCTTAAAAAGAAGACAAGCCAGAATTTGAGTATGCTTCACGCTGTGACTCATCAGAGAGACCGAAACTCTCCAATCATGCTGGGCTTTTATTACCCTTGTGACCATGTCCTGCACCAAGCTTTATGAGAGCCCACTGTGCTGTGGCATGCTGCTTAGCCTACTTCATGCTGATTCATCAAAAAATTAGTTCCAGGCTATGATGAAGATAATAAACCAAGCAGTAGATTTTGCAGTGTTTTCCCTGAGAGGGAAACTTCTTTAAACAAACTTCTGTAGTGGAAAGATCATAAACTTTTGAGTCTTGATATTTCCACTACAATATATACAATTCTTTCCTCTTCTAGGAATTGTGACCTTTGGAAAAAATTACATAATGTTTCTGAAACTTAGTTTTCTTATCTACACAAGAGTAATAATAATACTTTCTTCTTAGAGTTGGTGAGAATAGGTGAGGTCATATAGTACAAAAAGTAGATTGAAGGCATGTTCTCTTTCCTCCCCTCCCTCTGCAGTCATAGACTGTAGGTATGCCTTCACTAAATCCTGTGGCAAATTGACTAGCACATGACACTCTTCTGCTGTTAGCATTTTGGAGGAGAAGATTTAAAAGAGAAACAATAACAACAACAAAAATCTATGAATTGTATGGCATTCCCAAAGCAATTTTACTATAAATCCTCCTAGTATTATTGCTAATGCTTAATACATAGAGTTGGCAACTATGTATTTAAGAAAAAGAGACTAATCTAAACTGCCTAATAAACACATCAAGAAAAGTTCCTAGAGAAATTCTGCTAGCTGGTCTGGAACCTCAAATCCCAGGACATCACAAAAGATTGAAAACTGAGGTGCAAAGCAGCCAGACTACCACTGAATTAACAGGATCCTTACAGTAGATGAAATCCTCAGTGCTTCTCAAAGAAGGAAATATGGCTTTTTGCACCTATATCATGGCTAAACAGGGTTACTTTCTCAACACTGTTTATTAACTAGGAGCTTTGTAACAACAGGCTGCCTCACTGAGACAAGAAGAGCAAACACTTCAAACTTCAGATGCTATAGATTCTGTTTTCTGGTGATTGAGTAACATGGCTGCTAAAAAATCATATCTTTCTGACAAAGAATAAAATTATAAACAGCATGAGAAGTTATTTTTTACAGAAAGCTTCCTTAGATTTGGAATTCAGCCTTCTCCCTTAGCACTGGCTGACACCAGCCTTGTTACTAAAATATTGAAATATTGATCTCTGAGCTTGAGTCTCCCTGGGTCAGTGAGATGGAAATTCACTAAGAATTTAATGCTATTGGCAGTGTCCAAGCTGGCCTTTCAAAGAAGCTTGGTGTAATTGCTTTCCATTTTAGACAAGTCGGATTAGCAGGATCCTTCCCAGGCAGGGTTTGTCTTTGTGGCCTTCAGCCTCTGCTTCTTGCACACTGTTCCCTCTTCTCCTTTTTCTCTCTAACTTCTCCACAGAGCTCTAATGTATTTTAGTAGACCAGGGGAGACCAACTCAACACCTCTGACATCACGTCAGGTAAACCAGCACCTGACATGTAAATTTCTATGGGGGAAGGAAAGCTTCCAGAAGTGACACAACATCCTTATCTCTTCTAGTCCATTTTCCTGGGTTTTCAACACTCAAATTGTTCACTCTGGGGTGGCGCCTGTGGCTCAGTGAGTAGGGTGCCAGCCCCATATACCAAGGGTGGCGGGTTCAAACCCGGCCCCAGCCAAACTGCAACAAAAAAATAGCCAGACATTGTGGTGGGCGCCTGTAGTCTCAACTACTCAGGGGGCTGAGGCAAGAGAATCACCTAAGCCCAAAAGCTGGAGGTTGTTCTGAGCTGTCACGCCATGGTAGGGTGACAAAGTGAGATTCTGTCTCTAAAAAAAATAAAATAAAATTGTTTACTCAGAACTTGTAGGCCTTAGTAGGGAATTAGGCACAGTTGATAACATTGTACTGATGCCAAAAGTAGATCATCTTCAGATATAGGTCATCAAAGGAGGTAGCTTCTGCCTGAGCTAAAAGAGTCAGTAATCTGAGGGTGGTGCTGGGGAAAGGAAATAGCCAAGCCAGAGGTCAGTGCTACAGCTGACATTAAGTTTTATTTTAAATACCAGCCTGCCTCTTGTCCCAGAATCTGGGCAGAAAACTGTCACATCAGGGAAGATGATGTAATGTTGCATAGACATATAATTGTCATAGGAAGAAATGAATTATACACAGTGTCTTTCCTTAGCTTGGTAACAGGGTAAGGGGTGTGCATGTGTGTGTTCATCAAACTGTAGGCAGAATATCACTGAAGTATCTTTTATGACTTCAAAACTTCTGAGATTTGCATCTAGATAAAAGTATACCCTTTGAAGCTCTCACAGACATTGGACTATACCACCCTATTCTGCTTTCTAGTTTCTGCTGTTTGCCACTATCATCCTTCATACCCTGAACTTGATCTGTCCTATGTTTTATTCCCAAGGGGACTGAGATTAATCCAATAAACTAATCCCCAATATTGTGCTACTACTAGGGACATTAAAAAAGCCATTTGAGGCAACTGTGTGTTTTCAATAAAGCATTTGAGAGTAGTCACCAGCCCTTATTATCCAACCTATTAATGATTTTGATAGTGAAAATTTAAAGATGATAGAGTAGGCAGTTGGGGGCCACCAGCCCTGTGGTGCCAATTACTGCTTAATATTTATTTGTACATAGTAAGCTTGACTCTGAATAAATCTCCATTCTTTTTTATGTTTCCTTTTCCTATTATCTTGATATTAACGGTATCTATCTTCCCTTTTACAGGAACAGCTCTCAAATTAACATTTTGATAAGTATTTGTATGTAAGATTTTGACATACAAATTAGGAGATCTATCTGCCTTTTTATTTTATTTTACTTTTATTTATTTACTTATTTTTGGAGATAGAGTCTCACTTTGTCACCCTTGATAGAGTGCTGTAGTGTCATAGCTCACAGCAATCTTAAACTCTTGAGCTCAAGTGATTCTCTTGCCTCAGCCCCCCAAGTAGCTGGAACTACAGGCACCTGCCACAATACCCAGCTGTTTTTATGAGCTGTTTTTATAATGAGGTCTTGCTCTGGCTCAGGCTGGTCTTGAAACTGTGAGCTCAGGCCGTCCACCCACCTCGGCCTCCCAGAGCAGTAGGATTATAGGCATGAGGCACTGTGCCTGGCCTAGTTGCCTTATTTTTAAATGTTTGAATAAAACACAGGAAGCTTGTTGTGGACTTTATATAATGAGTATTGGGCTGATACAATCTAATTATGTCATGATACTGAAACTCTAATTTTGTTTGACCTGATTTTCTCAAACTAAGTGTAGCAAATCACTAGTGAGTGGCAATGCAGAAAGGGGAAAAGGTTATACAAATCCTGCCTATACCAATGGGGATCGTTAAGTACTTACTTGATTCTTTATGATCAGAGTTGATTGCTTATAATAATACTGTATTAAGAT